ACAAAACAGCAAATCAAATCCAGTAATATATAATAAAAGATAATATAACATAACCAAGTTATGGTTCCTCCAGGAATCCAAGTTTTGTTCAACACTGGGAAATATATTCATTTCACTCATCTTAATTAAGGCAAAAAATGCAGTTGATCAAATTCTACAACCATTCAATTGAAACTCTCTTATCAAACTAGGAATAGAAGGAAAATTGCTTCACCTAATAAGCAGAACTTCAAGTTGGGAAGAATTTCCAGAAGAACTCATTAAAGGGAACTGAAGCCCATGTATACCCTTTTGCCTACCTACTATGTTTCCCCCAAAACAAGACAGGGTCTTATATTTATTTTTCCTCAAGACGACACCCTAGGGCTTATTTTCAGAGGGTGTGCTTTTTTCTTAAGTATGGTACAACAATCTACATTTACTCAAATATAGTTAAGTCATCTTCTTTTTGCTTTTTTCCAAAATTCAGTTGTTTTTTATTTATTTGTTTATTTTTTAAGTCATCTTCTTCTGGAACATCATCATAACTCTCCAAACCCCGAATTCCATCCTGAATTTCTTGTGACTCTATTTCCTTTAGAACCATTGGCCTCAATCTCTCATGTGGACCAATAGAGCTCTCATGGGGCAGATGAGAAGGGCTGCTCTTCTTCTTTACCACTCCACGAAGAAATGCATGGGTTGTGCAGATACGCTGTGTAGCCTCGCCCATCACTAGGTCTTATTTTTGGGGTAGGGCTTATATTGCCCAAATGCTTAGAAATCCTGCTAGGGCTTATTTTACAGGTAGGCCTTAGTTTTAGGGAAACACGGTACTTTTCTGATGCTTAGACTGGGACTTGCTTGATAACTGAAGCTCCAGCCCTTATTGTGGCCTACAAGGTGACCTTAAAATGTGGAACTAGATATTAAGCATAGAAGAACAGAAAGACAGAAGAAACCTGGGTCCCTGATATCTTATGGCACTACTACACAAGTGCTGAGTTTCATGCCTCTGGACTCCTCTGACATATGAGACTATACCTTTGTATAAGATACTTTTATTTATGCAGCCAAATTCTACCTTAACTAAAACATCATTTCTATTCAAAATACTGGAGGCTCTAACCTGGGAAAGAAAAATAAATAAAACATGTAAAAAGTGTTAAGAAACAAAACTATAATTATTCACTTATGAATAGAAAATTCCAAAAAATCTTATAGAAATTAGAAGAGTTTAGCAGAATGGCATTTCTACATACTAGCAACAATCAGTTAAAATACTTAGTTTAAGAAACTGGCACCATTCATAATAGCAACAAAAACAAGGCATCCAGGAATAAACATAACCTAAAAGTGAAAACTTTTATGTAGAAATTCATGAAATTTTTTAGAACGATTTTAAGAGGACCAAAAATAGCTCAAGGATAATAAGAATTGTCATTAAAATGTTATGCCTCCTGAAATAGATCCAAGGATTCAATAAAATTTTGATCAAAATTCCAACACAGTTTTTCATGGAACTTGACAAGCCAAATTTTATATGGAACAGCAAAGAGACAAGAATAACTAAGACATTCCTAAAGAACACAGTACCAGCCAGGTGGAGGCTCATGCCTGTAATCTTAGCAATTTGTGAGACTGAGGTAGGAGGATTGCTTGAGACAGGAGTTTGAGACCAGCCTGGGCAACACAGTGAGAGCCTATGTTAAAAATTAGCTGGGCCTGGTGGTGCCCACCTGAAGTCCTAGCTACTCAGGAGATTGAGGCAAAAGGATCACTTAAGCCCAGGAGTTGGAGATTACAATGAGCTGTGACCTGGCCACTGCATTCCAGCCTGGGTGATAGAGCAAGACTTTGTCTCTAAAAAAATAAAAATTAAAAATTAAAATTAAAAAAAGAACTTGGCCCCAGACATCAAAAGTTATCATAAGGCTACACTATTGAAGAAACTAGGTAGCAGTGCAGTGACAAAAAAATAGAACAATAGAACAGAGTCAAGAGCCCAGGAACAAACTCCACACATACCCATAAACTTAGGGTGACATTGACAGTCAATGGCAAAAAGGTGACATAGTCAAAAAATGATGCTACGATGACTAAAATGAAAACCAAACAAAGAAATCAGATACCATCTGACAGCATACATAAAAACTCAATTCTAGATGATGTAATATTAAACCTGAAAGGCAAAAGTATAAAAATTTTAGAACGAAAAAATAGAATATCATAAGAGCTTGATGTAAGAAAGAATTCTTAAAAGAGATTTTTTAAAAATTGACTTTTTCAACTATATTAAACTTAGGGAAAAATTTTTCAAACTATATTAAAAGAGTTCTTCCTAATCACAAAAAAAGAAAAAAAAAAAAAGAGAGAGAGAGAAGGGCCAGGTGTAGGTGGGTCACGACTGTAATCCTAGCACTCTGGAAGGCCCAGGTGGAAGGATTGCTTGAGGTCAGGGGTTCTAGACCAGCCTGAGAAAGAGTGAGACCCATTTCTACAAAAAACAGAAAAATTATCCAGGCATGGTGGTGTGCACCTGCAGTCCCAGCTACTTGGGAGGCTGAGGCAGGAGGATCACTTGAGCCCTGGAGTTTGAGGCTACAACAAGCTATGATGATGCCACTGTCATACTCTAGCCCAGTCAACAGAGGGAGACCCTGTCTTAGAAAAAAAGATAGAAAAGAACTGCAATAAAAATGAACTGCTACATTCATCAAGATATACCTGATTCCATTTATATAAAAGTCAAAGATTGGCAAAACTAAACATTTAGAAATGGCTATATATATGATAAAACTATATAGAAAAGCTTGGGAAGCTCAACACAAATTTCAAGATAGTGCTTATTTCTGGCTGGTAGAGAGGAGGACTTAATTGGGGAAGTGCAAACTGGTAAAGTTTACTGATAACTGGTAAAATTCCATTTCTTGAGCTGAATGATAGGCCTGCATGGATTCATTTCTCATGAAACTATATATATCAGCTATTAATATACATGCTCTTCTCTGTGAGTTATAGATTTCATAATAAATTTTAATAACTCAAAATTATTCAAAAAGCTGTTTTATATTATCTTCTTGGCCTGGCACAGTGGCTCACACCTGTAATCCCAACACTTTGGAGGCCAAAGCAGGAAAATCACTTGAGGCTAGGAGTTTGAGGTTACAGTGAGCTGTGATCCAGCCACTGCACTCTAGCCTGGGTGACAGAGCAAGATCTTGCCTCTTAAAAACAAAACAAAACAAAATTATCTTCTTGCTCATCTCCCTGTTTTAAAAAATGTGGTCTTTTAACTGTAATAAAACAATGACATTAGCATATGGTACTTTAAGGGCTGCTCTTTTGTTTAAATTGCTATTACATTAAAGACATTTATGTGTATTTATCCTACCCTATATAATCCATATCAACTTGGTTTCCAAAGCAATGCTAAAGTGCAAAAGACCTTAAGGCAGAAATCTAAAATAGACTTCATTGACTTGCATCAATACAACCACAACTTTTTTATACACCAACAGGTTTTATACACCCTGCATCTGCTTAATGAAATCCTTTCAACTAGTGTTAGAGACACCAAAATTAAGACAAACATATTAAATGTTAAGTAAACACTAAGGCTGACATTTAATGATGGTATATCAGATTTCAATCTTAAATTGCCACGTGAAGTCTCAAAACGAAACTTTTTTGCTTAAAGCAACTGCGGGACTAAATTGGAGGCTTTCAGGTTGAACCATGAAAATGTCTGTGGCTATGGGCAAATTCACAGACTCAGTTTCCACAAAATTATAAAACTCAATTAAAATTTTTTTTCAATTTCTGCAGCATCTTTTGAAGATATTTTTATGTGCACTCATCCTGGACTACCCCTACCAAGGTCACCAGCTTTGGGTCACACGATGAGCCAGTGGCAGATTCAAAACTCTATATGTTATCTTTCAGATCCTGGGATCTCCCCTCCAGAGTCCTGGGGTATGAAGAGCAATGGTGGAAAGACTGCTAGGTGGTTAAGATTGTGTTACCATATGGCCAAAAGTTAAAGTCAGCTGGAACCTTGCAAATAATTCTGTCTAACCCCTCGTTTTTGCGCTTGGGGAAAGCATGCCTCAGGAGGAAAAACACTAGCTCCAGGCCTAACAACTACTCCAGCTTATCTCCTCTGGTCCTGCCCAGTGGTCCTTCCCATTCACCCGTCCCTAAACGTTTCTATTCGCTGCTAACACGGAGGGGGTGAGCAGAGCGGCACCTCTGCAGTGTGGCCAGGCTGTCAGGACTAAAAAGCGTCGTAGAGGTAATCGAGTCAACCTCTCTTCTTACGGGTGGGGAAACTGAGGCTGTAAAGTGACGCAGCTTGGGAGGTTAATCGACCCTCTGCCACCGAGTGGCAAAAGCCTAATAAAGTGATGGAGTTAACTGACGACTCCCTCCCCATCTCCAGGAGGACGGATGTCAAAGCCCCCACCCCCGATCACCACATATCATTCAGCAAAAATCCCGCGCCTTCCACGCAGAACCGGGAAGAGGGAAAGAGAGGTAATGGTGACAGCCGGTGCGCAGCACCGAGAACGCCGCGGCGGCATCTGGCTCTGAACTCCCCACAAGCTCTTTTGACAGTCCGTGGAGAGAAAGGGGAAAGGTCAAACAGTAAGGCTGCGGCGCCTCCCGCGAGAAGAGGTACCTGAGGCTCGCGCCGCAGTCCCCCGTCGCACCGCTCAGGAGCACAACACCCCACTTCCGGAGTCAAGTTGCCGCGGGGAAGCCGGAGATTGCCCGAGGGAAACCTCAGGTTCCGCCCCCATCAAAGCCCCGCCTCTATTGCCCGCTTCGCCTGAGACCCGGCATCTTCCGGGACGCTACGCGTCACTAAGCAGCCAATCCCCACTTCCGGATGCAGCCCTTTCCGTTCTCCACCCCTTTCGGGCACGGTGGGAGAAACTGTAGGTTTCCGCGCACTGGATTGGCGAGGCTGGAAGCGCTAGTCTTCGCTGATTGGTGCCGGGGAAATCTGCCCCATAGACGCCCGCGGGGCGCACAGTTTCAGTCAGTCTGTTTCCCGCCTGCCGGCGTTCTGGTGCCGCAATCATGGTGGACGTAATGGAGTTGCCCAAGTCGCGCATCAACGCCAGCATGATAGCTCAGTTCATCGATCAGCCCGTCTGCTTCGTAGGGAAGCTGGAAAAGGTGTGCGGGCTTTCTGTGCTGGGTTCCCCGGTCCGTGGCCGGAGGGAGGGACCCGGGAACCCCCCAAGTGGCGGACTCACCGTGGGTAACGGGGGCTGAGGGAGGACAGGAAGCCTTGGAGCATCGCTGCGCTCCCATCTGCCTTATTTTGCACAAGGATATTTTTTGCACTCTTTAGCCGTTGCAGCCCTATTTTGGCGACTCCGTTATGGCGCCAAGACGAGGTGTTTTCAGATGTGCTACTTTCTAAATTCTGGTTCTCCACACCCCCGTTCTTTGTTTACATAAAGGAAATTACGGCTGTGACTCCCACAGCTGATTTCAGTTTAGCCAGATTTGACCAACGCCAACTAAATTAATCTACTTGTTTCCTTCTCTTCTGCAGTTCTGTTCCCGAACCCCCGTTTTCTCGTTCAAGTTTCTTCTCCATAAAACATTGCTTGATTGTCCATTTTATTTTATTTTATTTTTTGAGTCAGAGTCTCACTCTGTTGCCCTGGCTAGAGTGCCCAGGCGTCAGCCTAGCTCACAGCAACCTCAAACTCCTGGGCTCAAGCGATCCTCCAGCCTCAGCCTCCCGAGTAGCTGGGACTACAGGCATGTGCCACCATGCCCGGCTAAGTTTTTCTATATATTTTTAATTGGCCAATTAATTTCTTTCTATTTGTAGTAGAGACAGGGTCTTGCTCTTGCTCTGGCTGGTTTGGAACTCCTGAACTTGAGAGTGAACCTCCCCCCTCGGCCTCCCAGAGTGTTAGGATTACAAGCGGTTAGCCACCGCGCGTGGCCTAATTGTCTGTTTTAGATCCTGTAGCAGCCTGTTATCTCACTCCACTGTTAAAGTGCAGCCCCCTCATCCTTACAAGTTAGAAACAGGCTCAATATCTCAGATCAGTGACCTGAAAAAGTGAGAGAAAGAAAACTACTATACAAAGGCTTATTTATTTAGTAGCATATTTCATCCACACATCCTCTTTGTGAAATGAGTGTTATTTCAACTTCAGAAGTAGGGAAACTGAGTAGGAGTAATGGGTGGTTAACTAAAATGCTCTGTGACACAGCAGCTGGCAGAGCTGTCATTCAAACAAGATCTGACTGCACTGCAGCTGCCCTCCCAGGAATATCACCCAAATCTTCTGATAACCAGTTCTTTTACTTCATCATGCCTAATTTTTAAAACACACCCTCCATGGGATATGTACTATCTAAATCATGACTGCCAGCAGATCTCACTTTTAGGTAGTGTGGGCTTCCTTTAATTTGTTCTTAGAATTAGGGTTGCCAGATTTAGCAGATAAAAACACAAGACCTACTTAGACTAAAAAAGTATTCGGGATTTTAATTCGAACCAAATAAACTATTCAAAAATCAGCTGGTCGCAGTGGCTCACGCCTGTAATCCTAGCACTCTGGGAGGCCAAGTTAGGCCGATTGCTTGAGGTCAGGAGTTCGAAACCAGCCTGAGCAAGAGCGAGACCCCGTCTCTACTATAAATAGTAAGAAATTATTTGGCCAACTAATATATATAGAGAAAGCTAGCCGGGCATGGTGGCACATGCCTGTAGTCCCAACTACTCGGGAGGCTGCGGCAGGAGGATTGCTTGAGCCCAGGAGTTTGAGGTTGCTTTGAGCTATGTTGACGCCATGGCACTCGCTCTAGCCTGAGCAACAAAGCAAGACTCTGTCTCAAAAAAAAAAAAAAATCAATTAGTTTATGCTCAACTAAGTTAAGAACAATGTACTTATCTTTGTCAAACTTTTTTTAATGAGATTTTAAAGATTATGTTTATTGTGAGGTTTTTTTTAATCATATATTTCTTTTTTAGATTCATCCCACTGGAAAAATGTTTATTCTTTCAGATGGAGAAGGGAAAAATGGAACCATTGAGTTGATGGACCCTGTATGTTTAAGTATTAATTCTATCCATATTATAGTTAATTCTTCATCTTGGGTTGGTTTGTTGCTGATGCTTCTGATTTTTGTACTGGATATGTAAAGGATGAGGCTGAAAAACTTCCCTGGCTCTAAAATTAAATTCTTGTCCTCTTCTCTCATTATATTTCCTTTTACATTTCTAACCAGTGATTCTTTGGGTGCCATGATTTTTGAATACATTCCTTAAATGCTGTATAACAATTCTCATTCCTTATGAAAGTCCATAAAATCACATAAAAAAAAGTCATCCATTTAAATAGTTTTTTCCTTCCTCAAGAGTTTTAAATTTTTTATTTTATTTTCTATTTTTGTTAAAAATATATATAATTCCAGTTTTTACTTAATTTTTGCATTTTATGTTTATTATACCTAAAAACATTTTCATGTTCTTTCATGAAGCTAAATCCATATGCTGTTTGGTTAATGTATATAAAACATACTTTTTGAAATATAGATTATAGAAGGTCCCTCTCAATATATTCTTTTAAACAAAACTATCTTTGGACTTGAAGCTACACTAAAAGTAGCAGGACTGGTTAAGTACTCAAACATTTTTTACAAGTGAGTTTTCCATCTTTGCACTGATAAATTTTAAAATTACTTTGTTATGTGAAATGAAAGAATAGTGAACTATAAAATAGTTTTCCAAATTATCAAATGGCGTCATATTTGATGAAATGTGATAACATCAAAATGACAATTTGTTCTGTGTCTTAGCTTGATGAAGAAATCTCTGGAATTGTGGAAGTAGTTGGAAGAGTAACACCCAAGGCAACCATCATGTGTGCATCTTATGTCCAGTTTAGAGAAGATAACCATCCTTTTGGTAAATAAAGTATTTTAGTATTCAGTGGTCTTTATGTAATTAGGAAAACACTTTTATTCCTAAACTGATACGTGTTGATCTTGAGTGTCAGTTCTGCCATATTTTTAATTGCTGTCTAATTTTCTGATTCCAAAGAAAAATGGAAGTACATTTTGGCCTGCTTCTAAGTAGTGCTTATATATGTAAGAAACTCAGTAAAGATTAATTAACATTTGTGAGTAGAGAAAATTTTTAAATATGATAAAAATAATATTACTTGTTTTGTTTTATTTTAATATATGATTTGAAGGCATAGTACAATACACAGCATATAAAACATGACCAGATGAAAACTGTGCTTATATAATACACATCAAAATGTGTGCTTTCCTGTCTCCCATGTTTTTTTTTTTATTGGAGCCATAGTTAAGTAAATATGAAGGTCCATATCTCAGTTTTAGAAATTGGATTGTGAAAATAAGTTGGCCTCTAAAAGAAAGAGAAAAAAGAAATAGGAGGAAATCTTTCATATAATAATTGATGCTGCAACTTTCCACTATAGATTAAATGTTTGCTTTAATGTTTCTTTCAGATCTTGGACTTTACAATGAAGCTGTGAAAATTATCCATGAGTTCCCTCAGTTTTTTCCTTTAGGGGTTGTGCAATATGATTGATCTTGGTGAATTTTCTTATGATTTCAAATGAGCTACATCGAAGACTAAAGGGAGGCCCCTCTTATTTGAGAGAGAGATTTCTGTGATTCCTAGTATTTAATTTGCTCTTTTTAAAATTTTATTTACCTAATTTAGATATTATAATGTATAGTTTTTGATAGAACACCTTTATCTTCTTATAAAGAATTACTTCTCCAAAATGTGGTTGGATTAGATGCAAGAACAAAGCAGTTGTCTGAGTTTAGGTTTCTATTTTATTAATAAAAATTAAAATTGTACATACTGTTGGTCATTTCATTTTTATTCTTTTCGTCATGTATTGAAGCATAAACTTGGAATTTCATGGCTGTAAGGTCAAGACTTAGACCTACCAAATGAAACTATGAGCCAGCTCTGTTAAGGATTTATTCTTCATCTCCCAAACTATACCATCTTAATTACTTCATTGATACTCTACTTAAAAAGTGAATTTGATGAATTAAAAGGACAAACACAACCCTATGTCTTCTGTAATTTGTGAAGTATCTCTTTTTCTGGATTATAAAACTGAGCATTTGTTAATTGCCAAATAAACAATACAGGATCACTGAAAGGTGGTGGAATTATTTGAATTTTATTTCTTTCTTTCAACTGTCATCCCCCTTGGTATGGAATTCCTGTCTACCACCAAGTAATGTTGGAAGTGAGCAGGGAGGTTGTGGCAGGATAGGATGGTGCAAAATAACTGATGGCCTGTGTGGCTAGATTTTATGGCTTGACCTGTTCTACAGTGAGGAAATAAAATAATTCCAATCCACTTAGATTGCGAACTATACCAAAAATATTTATTTTAAATTGATGTAATTGTAAATTTCAACTTGTATCATCCCCAGATACTCTGCAGATTACTTAAAGGACATTCCCATAGCCTCTTACAGTAAAGCATTTTATCACGTGAAGTGAAGACAATTACAGTCATGTGCCACACAATCACTTCAGTCAACAACAGACTGCATATATAACAGTGGTCCCATAAGGTTATAAAGGAGCTGAGAAATTCCTGTCACCTAGCAATGTAGCCATCGTAGCACAAAACATTACAGATGTGTTTGTGGTGATACTGGTGTAAACAAACCTATGTTTTAATACCACATGCATAAATATATTATGTGCTATACATAATTGCATGTGGTATTAAAACATAATCATGATAATAACCATGTTACTGGTTTATATATTTACTATGCTATCCCTTTTGTAGTTATTCAGAGTGTACTCTTATATAAAAAAAAGTTAACTGTAAAATAGTGTCAGGCCCTTCAGGAGGTATTCCAGAAGAAGGCATTGTTATCACAGGAATGACAGCTCCATGTGTGTTACTGACCCTGAAGACTTTCCAGTGAGACAAGATGTGGAGGTGGAAGATACTGATATTGATGATTCTGACCCTGCATAGAACTAGGCTAATGTATGTGTTCGTGTCTTTGTTTTGTTTTGTTTTGGTTTGGCTTTTTGAGACAGTTTCACTTTGTTGCTGGGGCTGGAGTGAGTGCCCTGGCATCAGCGTACCTCACAGCAACCTCAAACTCAGCAACCTCAGTCCTCCTGCTTCAGCATCCTGAGTAGCTGAGACTAAAGGCGCAAGCCATCACGCCCAGCTAATTTTTTGTTTCATTTTTAGTTGGCTAATTTTTTCTATTTTTAGTAGAGATGGGATCTCGCTCTTACTCAAGCTGGTCTCCAACTCCTGAGCTCAAGCAATCCTCCCGCCTCAGCCTCCCAGAGTGTTAGGATTACAGGCATAAGCTACCACACCTGGCCCATGACTTAGTTTTTAACAAAGAAGTTAAAAAGTAAAAACAAAGTTTTTAAAATAAAAAGTAGAAAAGGCTTATAAGTATGTAAAGAAAATGTTTTTGTATAGCTATACAGTGTTTTAAGCTAAGTATTATTACAAAAGAGTCAAAAAAATTTAAAAGTTTATAGAGTAAAAAGTTATAGTAAAGTTAATTTATTATTGAAAGAAAAATGTTTATAAATTTAGTGTAGCCTAAGTGTACAGTGTTTATAAAATCTACAGCAGTGTACAGTGAAGTCCTAGGCTTTCACTTTACTCACCACTCACTCGCTGACTCATTTAGAGCAACTTCCAGTCTGCAAGCTCCATACACAGTTAAGTGCCCTATACAGTTATCTTATTTTTTATCTTTTATACTGTTTTTTCCCCCATACCTTGTCTATGTTTATATAGGTTTGGATACATAAATACTTACCATTGCTTTACAATTGCCTACAGTACAGTAACATGCAGTACAGGTCTGTAGCCTAGGAGCAAGGGGCTATGCACCACACAGCCTAGGTGTGTAGTAGGCTCTACCATCTGGATTTGTGTAAGTACACTCTATGATATGTTCGCACAAAGACAAAATTACCGACCCATGCATTTCTCAGAACGTATCCCCGAAGTTAAGCCACACAAGACTGTAGTTGAAAATGAGGAGGGACATCCGCCAATCTCAACAACACAGTGTTGTCTCGAATGCCAGAGGAGTCAGGCCTCAATTCTGTGTTAAGCTCTTAAAAACTTGGTGCTATTAAGTGTTGAAGGTGTCCTGCTTGAAATCTTTCCTTAGCTACCATGTTTAGCAAATTGGACTAAATGAATTAAGTGTCTTGTTTTCTGTCGAGTAAATTCTTTGTGCTAATGATTTATGGTGCCAAATCTGTAGCCCCAACCTCATTTCTGAGCTGCTCGACATCTACACCGGGATGTCCCACCAGCACTTCAATCTGAATGACTGTAGTGTGAACAAGCATAGCTCCCCTACCATGTGTTACAGATTTTTTTGGTAATAATTTTATGGAGATATAATTTAAATATATAATTCACTTAATTCAAGTGTGCTTAATTCGGTGGCTGTTATTGTACTCAGGGTTGTACAAACCATCACCGTAATCAATTTAAAAACATTTCATAACCCCAAAAGGAAACCTTGTACCATTTACCTATATCAGCCCAAGCCCTTCACCATCACCACCCACTACCTGAGCCTCAAGCAACCACCAATCTACTTTCTGTCTCTAGACTTGACTTGTCTCCATTCTAGGCCTTTCGTATAAGTAGCATCATATAGTAGGTGGTCTTTTATGATTGGCTTCTTTCACTTAGAGTGTTTTCAAAGTACATCTGTGTTGTAGCATGTTATCAGTGCTTCATCCCTTTTTAAGGCTGAATAATATTACACTGTACGGATATACCACATCTTGTTTATTTATTCATTAGCTGGCGGACATTTGGGTGGTTTCTGCCATTTGGTTATAATGAGTAATGCTATTATGAACATGTATACATTTTTGTGTGTACACGTGTTTTCATTTCTTGGGTATATACTTGGGAGTGGAATTGCTGTGTCAACTGGTAAATATATTTAACTTTTTGAGGAACAACCTGACTGTTTTCCAAAGTGGCTGAACCATTTTACATTCCCAACAGCAGTATATATGAATATTAATTTCTCCACATCCTCATCAATACTTGTTATTATTTGACTTTTTCATTTTAACTATCCTAATAAGGTATGAAGTGGTATCTCACTGTGGTTTTGATCTTCGTTGTTTCTTTTAAAGCCATCAGTTACCCAGAATCACTTGAATACCTCCAATCCTTTTCACTATCATTACCCCTGAGAGTTCTAGTGATTGTCATCTCTCACTCTCATTTGAATTATTTTAACAACCATAGCTATATAACTGGCTTTCCTATTTTCACACTTTTTCTATCACCCAGCCAAGGGAACTGCATTAAACGTCAATTATAATATAATGTAAAGCTTAAATGCTTAGGAAGTATGAAAGGGGAAAACTTTCTGGGAATCTTACAGTGGAGAAACCTGCCAAACACCTTCATGAAGTGATCAAGGTTAACATCAGCAGTGATATCATGTGTCCTCTAAAGTGATATGATAAGGGCATTTCACCTCTCTGGTATTTTTCCCCAAAACCCTTTAGTCTAAACATGAGAATACATCAGACAAATCCAACTTTAGGAACATTCTACAAACTTTCTGATCAGCCCTCCTCAAAACTGTCAAGGTCATGAAAAACAAGGAGAGACTAAGAAACTCAGAGCAGACGAGAGTAAGGAGACCATTACAACTAAACGTTATGTGGGATCCTGGATTGGCTGCTGCAACAGAAAAACACATTAATTGAAAAACTGGTGACATGTTTTGTGGTTTTTTTTTTTTGAGACAGAGTCTCACTCAGTTGCCTGGGCTAGAGTGGCATGGTGTCAGCCTGGCTCACTGCAACCTCAAACTCCTGGGCTCAAGCAATCCTTCTGCCTCAGCCTCACGATTAGCTGGGACTACAGGCATGCACCACCATGCCCAGCTAATTTTTATATCTATATTTATCTATATATATATATATAGATAGATAGATATAAAACTGGTGAAATCTGAATAAAGACTGGAATTTACTTAATAGTAATTTAGTAATGTTGGTTTCTTAGTTTTGATAATTGTAGCGTGATAATGTAAGGTAACATTAAAAGGAGACAAACCAGGTGAGAGGTTATACAAGAACTTTCTGCGCTATCTTTGTGACTTTTCTGTAAATCTAAAATTACTCCAAGATGAAAAATGTATTTTTTAAAAAAAAAATCAACAAACTCCAGAGGCTCCCCACTGACTAGGCCGGGTCCATATTTCCAACAAGTGAAAATCCTTCCAGCACTATGTTGAATAGAACTGGAGATAGTGGGCAACCTTGTCTTGTTCCAGTTCTAAGTGGGAATGCTTTCAATTTTTCCACATTCAGTATGATATTTGCTGTGGGTTTGCCGTATGTGGCTTGTATCATTTTTAGGTATGTCCTGTCTATGCCTATTTTATTGAGCATTCTTATCATGAAAGGGTGTTGAATTTTGTCAAATGCTTTCTCTGCATCTATTGAGAGGATAATATGGTCTTTGTTTTTGCTTCTGTTTATATGGTGAATTACATTTATAGATTTGCGTATGTTGAACCATCCCTGCATCCCTGGGGTGAAGCCCGCTTGGTTATGATGGATTATTTTCTTCACATGCACCTGAATTCGTTTGGCTAGGATTTTGTTGAGAATTTTTGCATCTATGTTCATAAGGGATATTGATCTATAGTTTTCTTTTTTTGTTGCATCCTTTCCTGGTTTTGGTATCAGGGTTATGTTTGCTTTATAAAATTTTGTTGGGGAGGATTCCGTCCTTCTCGATGTTGTGGAATAATTTCTACAGGATAGGCACCAGTTCTTCCTTGTA